CGCCGTGTGGGTGCGGTCTCCACCCGGCGGCGTTGGGCTGGACTGCAGCCAGAGGCGTGGAGTCCCTCTAGGCCCCGGCAGCAGCTCCTGCTGTGCCTGCAGCGCTGGGGGACATGGTGGATTTTGGTCACAGCCAGGCTGGAAGCATGGGAGAGCCGGAGCTGGTGTTACCCCTTTCGGTGCAGCACAGAAAGCAGCGGGTCCCCCCTTGTCCTCCCAAGGGGCGTCCCCACCTGGGAGCACCCCAGGCAGGGGGATAGCTGCCCAGGTGAATTTTCCACGCGTGACTCCCAACAGAAGGGGGGGGGGGCCCCCAACAGGGGGGGGGGGGGGGGGGAATGTTTCCAGCACGCTGCAAGAGCGCAGGGTGCTGTGAGCATCTCAGCAGTGCTCACCTTACAGGTTGGCATCGTACGCTGCATTGGTGAAGATGCCCGGTGATCCTAGGTCACTGGAAAACACACACAAGGGTGTCACCTTGGGGGAGAGGGCAGGAGTGTGAAGGGCATGGATTAGCACAGCCCCATCAGCCCTGAAGGTGCTCCCACTGTGTATAAAAGCAGCCTCACACAGGCAGATCTGGGTGACAGCGAGGTGACCGCAGGGCTGTGATGGGCACGGGGCAGAGCCACCCTCCTGCAGAGCACGGATCTCACCTCGTGGGGTTCAGGAGCTTCTTCTTCTCCTCTGATGTGTCGAAATGTCCACGGGGATAGAGCAGATAGGAAAGAAATAACCAGATCTGTTTAGTGAAGGACATGAGAAGCCGCAGCAGCACCATCTGAAATTGAACCGAGTTTGACAAGCATGGGATGGAGTGGGGAGGGGGGGCTGAAGCATTTGCCTTCTTCCCCCTTGCAATGAAGGTGTTTTTGTGGCTCTGCTCTCCAAACCTGGCTGCTGACACTTTCCACTGGACAAACTGCCAAGGACCCAAGCAACTCGCAGCAAATAAGACACATGGAGGCAGCCACACTGTTCAACTCTTCTGATCATCCCACCCTCCCCTGGGACCTTGCCTGAGAGCCCCTGGCCAAAGTGACAGTGGGCTGTGGGAGGCGTTTCTGTACCTCTGTCGCTGAGCCGCTTGGCAAGGAGGGCGATGAGTGTCCCTGAGAGCACGACACCTGCTGCCACCAGAGCTGTGCCACTGCTGTAAGCCAGGACTTGCTTTAAGAAGCGGGCACTGTCCTCTGAAACAGATCCGCAGACCCACAGGTTAGAAAGTTGTCAGAAGGACTTCACAGCACCCAAGCTGCTGGGGTGGCCCCACCACGTTCAAGGTGTGCTGCAGGAAGGTGGACCCTCCCAGTGCTAGAGGAGCTGGGGGTCCCACCGTACCTGCACAGACAGGGGGATGCCTGGTCCAGTTCCCCGTGGCCGCACACTGGAGCACCTCTGCTCCCATCCGAACAAAACCGTCCTCACAGGAAAAGGTGCATGTGGAGTTGTACGTGAAGTTCCCGTGCACATGAGAGCAGCTCAGCTGGCCTCTGCTGGGGGGGTCCAGCACTGGGCAGCTGATGGCTGGAGATAAAGCACAGCGGTAGCATCAATAGGACCAATGGTGGTGGGATGGGGACATGTGGGCTGGGGAGCCAGCGGATGAGCTGCCATGGACTGGGGGTGCTAAGGGGAAGGGGATGATGAGGAAAGCAGTCTGCTACAACAGAGCACTTCCAGACACATGTGTGATCACGAGATCTACCTTTGCATCGCGGGGTGTCCCCAGTCCAGGTCCCCGTAGCGATGCACTCGCGGCTCTCCGGCCCCGTCAGTGCAAACCCCGTCTGGCAGGAGAAGGCACATGTGGAGCCAAAGGCAAAGTCCCCGTGGAGGTGGGAGCAGTTCAGCTCTCCCCAGTCTGGCACACTGAGCACTGGGCAGGTGATGGCTGCAGAGGTAGAGACACACTCCAAGCAAAAGCCTCGGGACTGCGAGGCTAAACTGCTGGGATCAAGAGGCTGGGGTGACACTAGGATGTTCCCCAAGATCGGTGACACCCTGAGCTCTAGCAGCAGCTCTACCTTCACATCGTGGGGCATCCCCAGTCCATGTCCCTGTGGCTGTGCACTCGCGGCTCTCTGGCCCCATCAGCACAAACCCCATCTGGCAGGAGAAGGCACACGTGGAGCCAAAGGCAAAGTCCCTGTGGAGGTGGGAGCAGTTCAGCTTTCCTCGGTCTGGAGCACTGAGCACCGGGCAGGCGATGGCTGCAGGGATAGAGATACGCTTCAAGCAGGAGCCTGGAGACTACAAGGCTAAACTGTTGGAATGAAAGGACAAAGACACTCAAGAACATCCCAGGGGCAACCCAAGGCCTGTGGCACCTTAAGCAGCAACTCTACCTTCACAGTGTGGGGACTCTCCAGTCCATGTCCCTGTGGCCATGCACTCGCGGCTCTCTGGCCCCATCAGCACAAACCCCATCTGGCAGGAGAAGGCACACGTGGAGCCAAAGGCAAAGTCCCTGTGGAGGTGGGAGCAGTTCAGCTTTCCTCGGTCTGGAGCGCTGAGCACCGGGCAGGTGATGGCTGCAGGGATGGAGATACACTTCAAGCAGGAGTCTGGGGGCTACAAGGCTAAACTGTCGGAGTGAAAGGACCAAGACACCCAAGAACATCTCAGGGTCATCCTGAGGCCTGTGTCACCTTGAGCAGCAACTCTTACCTTCACAGCGTGGGGCATCCCCAGTCCAGGTCCCCGTGGCAATGCACTCGCGGCTCTCCGGCCCCGTCAGTGCAAACCCCATCTGGCAGGAGAAGGCACATGTGGAGCCAAAGGCAAAGTCCCCGTGGAGGTGAGAGCAGTTCAGCTCTCCCTGGTCTGGCGCACTGAGCACTGGGCAGGCGATGGCTGCAGGGTGAAGAGGAACACTTCAAGCAGGAACCTGGGGACTGGGAGACTAAACTGCTGGGACCAAGAGGCTGGGGAACGTCTTAGTGTCACCCCAAGGCCTATGGCACCCTGAGCTCTAGCAGCAGCCTTACCTTCACAGCGTGGGGCATCCCCAGTCCATGTCCCTGTGGCTGTGCACTCGCGGCTCTCCGACCCCATCAGCACAAACCCCGTCTGGCAGGAGAAGGCACACGTGGAGCCAAAGGCGAAGTCCCCATGGAGATGGGTGCAGTTCAGCTCTCCCCAGTCTGGCGCACTGAGCACCGGGCAGGCGATGGCTGCAGGGATAGAGATACGCTTCAAGCAGGAGCCTGGAGACTACAAGGCTAAACTGTTGGAATGAAAGGACAAAGACACTCAAGAACATCCCAGGGGCAACCCAAGGCCTGTGGCACCTTAAGCAGCAACTCTACCTTCACAGTGTGGGGACTCCCCAGTCCATGTCCCTGTGGCCATGCACTCGCGGCTCTCTGGCCCCATCAGCACAAACCCCATCTGGCAGGAGAAGGCACACGTGGAGCCAAAGGCAAAGTCCCTGTGGAGGTGGGAGCAGTTCAGCTTTCCTCGGTCTGGAGCGCTGAGCACCGGGCAGGCGATGGCTGCAGGGAT